CCTGGCATTATTGATTTGTTTACTATTATTATTGGCCAACAAAAACCACAAGTGTTGTTTATATTATTTTTTCAGAAGAAAAAAAAGGGGGGTCTATTTATAAAAACAAAACAAAAAAAATTGCTGGAAAAATTTGGCTTAATACGGCAATTTTCCTATGTTCACCAGCTAAAAATGTGATATTTTGCTTGCTTAGATATTTAAGGAAAAAACATAATAAGGCATTAATGATTAAAGCATTATGGCATTATTGGGGAATCTATTATTTTTGTTGTGTATAATATATTTTTTCTAAGAAAAAAAAGGGGCTCTATTTATAAAAAAATTATTTTTGTTGTGTTTAATATATTTTTTCTAAGAAAAAAAAGGGGCTCTATTTATAAAAAAAAATCATTTTTGTTGTGTATAATATATTTTTTCTGAAAAAAAAAAGGGGGCTCTATTTATGAAAGAATTAATCGGACGAACGTCACAGGTATTGACACAATTCTAACTGTAATTTGGCCTAATAACTTGGGGTGTCCCATTAAGGTTTTTTAGTTTTTTTTTTAATTTGATTTTATATAAAAACAAAGTGTTGATTTTGAAAAGTGCCAAAAATTAATAAAGTAAAATAAAAAGGGGTGCACTTTCCTAATGAATATTTAAAAAAAAAAAATCTACCAGGTACATATATTTCTATCCAATCACAAACACCCTGTAAAGATTTGAAATATTCCCTAAAATTTTCTAACTGTTTTTGTGGCCTCAATGAAACAAAATGAATAAACAGTTATTGATAAAACAGTCAGTTTTTTTTTTAATTTTAAATTTTATATAAAATGGGCTCCAAATTTGTTGATTTTGAAAAGTGCCAAAAATTAATAAAGTAATAATAATCAAAAAGAGTGCACTTTTCCTAATGAATATTTAAAAAAAAAAAATCTACCAGGTACATCGGTTATTTCGCAGGGTAAAGGAATAAAATAATTTCTATGGGCCTTCCAATCTTCAGTAAACACCTGTAAATCCTGAAAATACACGAATTCCAGATTGAATATTCCAATTTTTCCAGGGTGAAAGGGTTTTTGTGCTCTCAACGCTGATTGAATAAACTTTGGGATTTGATAAAACAGTCATTCAGTCTGAGAAACGATAAAATCCCCATAAAATGGGCTCCATTTGTTCCGAAGAAATTGTGAGATTTACCTCATCAGTCTCTTGTCACGCTGATTGCCCCATTTATCACTGAGCGAGCCGCCGCACCGACTACCAAATGTGCTTCCTGGGGAGACGTTGTAGCGCATTACAAATTGAACGAGAGCCGCATCCATCATCTTCGGCGCAGGGAAGGAAGACGCACTACCTGGCCTTCAGTTCTTCTCACCTATCGGAAAATAAACGACACGAATGGCACCTACAGATTGAAGGCTCAGCAGGTGAAAGCTTTCCAGGGATGGATTGGAGGGATTTGCCGTGGCTCTCAACCTCTTGTAAACTTTGGGCCTTGGCTCTCATTCTCTTGGAAACTTGGGGTCTTGGCTTTCATCCACTTGGGGACTTAGCTCTCATCCTCTTGGGGACTTGGTTCTCATCCTCTTGATTACTTGAACCCTTGGCTCTCATTATTTTGGGGACTTGGGGCCTTGTTCTCATTTTCTTGGGGACTTGGGGCCTTGGCTCTCATGATCTTGGGGAATTGGGGCCTTGGCTCTCACCAATTGGGGACTTGGGACCTTTGAGTCTCATCCTCTTGAGGACTTGGAGTCTTGGCTCTCATGATCTTGAGGAATAGGGGCCTTGGCTCTCATCCAGTTGGGGACTTGAGGTCTTGGCTCTCATCCACTTGGAGACTTGGACCCTAGGCTTTCATTCTTTGGAGGGGGCCTTGGCTTTCATCCTCTTGGGGGCAGGGGGCCTTGGTTCTCATCCTCTTGGGGACTTAGGACCTTGGTGGTTCTCATACGCTTGGGGACTTGAGCACTTGGTTTGCATCCTTTTGGAAACTTGGGGCCTTGGTTCTCATCCTCTTGGGGACTTGGGGTCTTAAGTCTCATTCTTTTGAGGACTTGAGGTCTTGGCTTTCATTATTCTTGGGAACTTTGGGCCTGGGCTCTCATTCCCTTGGAAAACCTGGGGTCTTGGCTTTCATCCACTTGGGGACTTAGCTCTCATCCTCTTGGGGACTTGGTTCTCATCCTCTTGATTACTTGAACCCTTGGCTCTCATTATTTTGGGGACTTGGGGCCTTGTTCTCATTTTCTTGGGGATTTGGGGCCTTGGCTCTCTACCGCTTGGGGACTTGGGGCCTTGGCTCTTCATGATCTTGGGGCCTCTGCTCTCATCCAATTGGGGAATTAGGACCTGAGTTCTCATACTCTTGGGGACTTGGACCCTTGAGTCTCATTCTCTTGAGGACTTGGAGTCTTGGCTCTCATGATCTTGAGAATAGGGGCCTTGGCTCTCATCCAGTTGGGGACTTGAGGCCTTGGCTCTCATCTTCTTGGAGACTTGGACCCTAGGCTTTCATTCTTTGGAGGGGGCCTTGGCTCTCATCCTCTTGGGGGCAGGGGGCCTTGGTCTCATCCTCTTAGGGGACTTAGGACCTTGGTGGTTCTCATACGCTTGGGGACTTGAGCACTTGGTTTGTATCCTTTTGGAAACTTGGGGCCTTGTTTCTCATCCTCTTGGGGCCTTGGCTCTCATCCTCTTGGGGACTTGGAGTCTTAAGTCTCATTTTTTTGAGGACTAAAGTTCTTGGCATTCATCCTCTTGGGAACTTTGGGCCTCGGCTCTCATTCCCTTGGAAACTTGGGGTCTTGGCTTTCATCCACTTGGGGACTTAGCTCTTATGATCTTGGGGACTTGGTTCTTGTCCTTTTGATTACTTGAACCTTTGGCAATCATTATTTTGGGGACTTGGGGCCTTGTTCTCATTTTCTTGGGGATTTGGGGCCTTGGCTCTCAACTTCTTGGGGACTTGGGACCTTGGCTCTCATGATCTCGAGGAATTGGGGCCTTGACTCTCATCCAATTGGGGACTTGGGACCAGAGTTCTCATACTCTTGGGGACTTGGACCCTTGAGTCTCATCCTCTTGAGGACTTGGAGTCTTGGCTCTCATGATCTTGAGGAATAGGGGCCTTGGCTCTCATCCAGTTGGGGACTTGAGGCCTTGGCTCTCATCTTCTTGGAGACTTGGACCCTAGGCTTTCATTCTTTGGAGATATGGGGCCTTGGCTCTCATCCTCTTGGGGGCAGGGGGCCTTGGTTCTCATCCTCTTGGGGACTTAGGACCTTGGTGGTTCTCATACGCTTGGGGACTTGAGCACTTGGTTTGCATCCTTTTGGAAACTTGGGGCCTTGGTTCTCATCCTCTTGGGGCCTTGGGGTCTTAAGTCTCATTCTTTTGAGGACTTGAGGTCTTGGCTTTCATCCTCTTGGGAACTTTGGGCCTTGGCTCTCATTCCCTTGGAAACTTGGGGTCTTGGCTTTCATCCACTTGGGGACTTGGCTCTCATCCTCTTGGGGACTTGGTTCTCATCCTCTTGATTACTTGAACCCTTGGCTCTCAATATTTTGGGGGGGACTTGGGGACTTTGGGCCTTGTTTCATTTTCTTGGGGATTTGGGGCCTTGGCTCTCTACCGCTTGGGGACTTGGGGCCTTGGCTCTTGTGATCTTGGGGATTTGGGGCCTTTGCTCTCATCCAATTGGGGAATTAGGACCTGAGTTCTCATACTCTTGGGGACTTTGACCCTTGAGTCTCATTCTCTTGAGGACTTGGAGTCTTGGCTCTCATGATCTTGAGGAATAGGGGCCTCGGCTCTCATCCAGTTGGGGACTTGAGGCCTTGGCTCTCATCTTCTTGGAGACTTGGACCCTAGGCTTTCATTCTTTGGAGATATGGGGCCTTGGCTCTCATCCTCTTGGGGGCAGGGGGCCTTGGTTCTCATCCTCTTGGGGACTTAGGACCTTGGTGGTTCTCATATGCTTGGGGACTTGAGCACTTGATTTGCATCCTTTTGGAAACTTGGGGCCTTGTTTCTCATCCTCTTGGGGCCTTGGGGTCTTAAGTCTCATTTTTTTGAGGTTTTGGCTTTCATCCTCTTGGGAATTTTGGGCCTCGGCTCTCATTCCCTTGGAAAGTTGGGGTCTTGGCTTTTATCCACTTGGGGACTTAGCTCTCATCCTCTTGGGGACTTGGTTCTCATCCTCTTGATTACTTGAACCCTTGGCACTCATTTTTTTGGGGACTTGGGGCCTTGTTCTCATTTTCTTGGGGATTTGGGGCCTTGGCTCTCAACCTCTTGGGAACTTGGCTCTCGTGATCTCGAGGAATTGGGGCCTTGACTCTCATCCAGTTGGGGACTTGGGACCTGAGTTCTCATACTCTTGGGGACACAAGTCCCTCAACTCCTTACACTTGCCTATTTTTTCTGCTTTCAATTTCAGGGACAACATGTTCACTTGCTCTCTAATATATCCCCCCCACTTTCAGGTGCCATTGTCATGAGATAGTCATTCACTTTTCTGTCAGTGCTCAGAATGGCTGATCAGTATACAGTATATATATATATACAGGCGCACCTCGGTTTATGAACGCCTCGGTTAGCGGAATTTTCGGTATACCAATGAAAATCCATTGAAAATAATGACTTGGTTTAAAAAATGTTTTCGCAATGTGAAGCAAGTTTTCCCAGGATGCATTGCGCCTGGGAGGTTTATAGCGCCGGCCCCGTGCCTTTAACGTGCACTTTATAAGGAGTTTTGAACAGATAAGACTTTTTTTTTACATTTTTCTGACCTCCGGAACGGATTAATTGGTTTTCGATGCATTTATGAATTAATTTTTAATCATGTCCCTGTACAGTATTTATGCCTTTAACCGCCTCCCACCTGCCATATAGTCCAATGACGGGCGCAAGGCGGTTTCTCTCGTTCTGGGAGGACATCATATGATATCCTCTCATTCTCACTGCGCGTGCGTGGCTCTGGGAGCGTGCAGGGTGACGATCGGCGGTGCGCTGTTTCCCTCGGACACAGCAGATCACCGATCCATGGAAGGAGCCGAAGATGTCGGCTCGGTCATGTGATCAGCTGTGTCCAATCACAGCTGATCACATGTAAACAGGGAAATGCCGGTTATCAGCGTTTCTCTCCTCACGAGCTGTCACGCTGACAGAGGAGAGGAGAGCCGGTAATCGGCATTCCGCGGAGGGAACATGTGCCCTGATGATCAGTGTAGCTGCAGCAGTGCCACCTGTCAGTGTCCATCAGTGCCAGCTGTCAGTGCCACATCACTGCCACATATCAGTGCCCATCTGAGCTGCCTTTCAGTGCCGGCCATCAGTGCCAGTCAGTGCCACCTATGAATGCCAATCAGTGCCACCTATCAGTGCTGCCAATCAGTGCCACCTATCAGTGCCAGTCAGTGCCGCCTATCAGTGCGCATCAGTGCCGCCTATTAGTGCCAGTCAGTGCCGCCTAACAGTGCCATATATCAGTGCTGCCTTTCAATGCCCATCAGTGCCACCTACCAGTGCCTCCTCATCAGTGCCCTTCAGTGCCACCTATCAGTGCCCATCAGTGCAGTCTCATTAGCGCACATCAGTGAAGGAGAAAAATCACTCATTTACAAAATTTTATAACAAAAACTAAGAAAAAACTTTTTTTTCCCAAAATTTTCAGTGGTTTTTGGTTTGTTTAAGAAAAAATAAAAAACCCTGAGGTGATTAAATACCACCAAAATAAAGCTCTATCTGTCTCAAAAAAGATAAAAATTTCATATGGGTACAGTGTTGCATGACCACGCAATTGCCATTCAAAGTGTGACAGCGCTGAGAGCTGAAAATTGGCCTGGACAGGAAGAGGGTAGAAGTGTCCTGTAGGCAGGAAGGGGGGTAGAAGTGCCCTGTAGGCAGGAAGGGGGTAGAAGTGCCCGGTAGGCAGGAAGGGGGTAGAAGTGCCCGGTAGGCAGGAAGGGGGTAGAAGTGTCCGGTAGGCAGGAAGGGGGTGGAAGTGACCTGTAGGCAGGAAGGGGGTAGAAGTGCCCGGTAGGCAGGAAGGGGGTAGAAGTGCCCGGTAAGCAGGAAGGGGGTAGAAGTGTCCGGTAGGCAGGAAGGGGGTAGAAGTGCCCGGTAGGCAGGAAGGGGGTAGAAGTGCCCTGTAGGCAGGAAGGGGGTAGAAGTGCCCTGTAGGCAGGAAGGGGGTAGAAGTGCCCGGTAGGCAGGAAGGGGGTAGAAGTGCCCGGTGGGCAGGAAGGGGGTAGAAGTGCCCGGTAGGCAGGAAGGGGGTAGAAGTGCCCGGTAGGCAGGAAGGTGGTAGAAGTGCTGGTGGGCAGGAAGGGGGTAGAAGCGCCCGGTAGGCAGGAAGGGGGTAGAAGTGCCCTGTAGGCAGGAAGGGGGTAGAAGTGCCTGTAGGCAGGAAGGGGGTAGAAGTGCCCGGTGGGCAGGAAGGGGGTAGAAGTGCCCGGTAGGCAGGAAGGGGGAAGAATTGCTGGTGGGCAGGATGGGGGTAGAAGTGCCCGGTAGGCAGGAAGGGGGTAGAAGTGCCCGGTGGGCAGGAAGGGGGTAGAAGTGCCCTGTAGGCAGGAGGGGGTAGAAATGCCCGGTAGGCAGGAAGGGGGTAGAAGTGACCTGTAGGCAGGAAGGGGGTAGAAGTGCCCGGTAAGCAGGAAGGGGGTAGAAGTGTCCGGTAGGCAGGAAGGGGGTAGAAGTGCCCGGTAGGCAGGAAGGGGGTAGAAGTGCCCGGTAGGCAGGAAGGGGGTAGAAGTGCCCTGTAGGCAGGAAGGGGGTAGAAGTGCCCGGTAGGCAGGAAGGGGGTAGAAGTGCCCTGTAGGCAGGAAGGGGGTAGAAGTGCCCGGTAGGCAGGAAGGGGGTAGAAGTGCCCGGTGGGCAGGAAGGGGGTAGAAGTGCCCGGTAGGCAGGAAGGGGGTAGAAGTGCCCGGTGGGCAGGAAGGGGGTAGAAGCGCCCGGTAGGCAGGAAGGGGGTAGAAGTGCCCGGTGGGCAGGAAGGGGGTAGAAGTGCCCAGTAGGCAGGAAGGGGGAAGAAGTGCTGGTGGGCAGGATGGGGGTAGAAGTGCCCGGTAGGTAGGAAGGGGGTAGAAGTGCCGGTGGGCAGGAAGGGGGTAGAAGTGCCCTGTAGGCAGGAAGGGGGTAGAAGTGCCCGGTAGGCAGGAAGGGGGTAGAAGTGACCTGTAGGCAGGAAGGGGGTAGAAGTGCCCGGTAAGCAGGAAGGGGGTAGAAGTGTCCGGTAGGCAGGAAGGGGGTAGAAGTGCCCGGTAGGCAGGAAGGGGGTAGAAGTGCCTTGTAGGCGAAGGGGGTAGAAGTGCCCGGTAGGCAGGAAGGGGGTAGAAGTGCCCTGTAGGCAGGAAGGGGGTAGAAGTGCCCGGTGGGCAGGAAGGGGGTAGAAGTGCCCGGTGGGCAGGAAGGGGGTAGAAGTGCCCGGTAGGCAGGAAGGGGGTAGAAGTGCTGGTGGGCAGGAAGGGGGTAGAAGCGCCCGGTAGGCAGGAAGGGGGTAGAAGCGCCCTGTAGGCAGGAAGGGGGTAGAAGCGCCCTGTAGGCAGGAAGGGGGTAGAAGTGCCCGGTGGGCAGGAAGGGGGTAGAAGTGCCCGTAGGCAGGAAGGGGTTAGAAGTGCCCGGTAGGCAGGAAGGGGGAAGAAGTGCTGGTGGGCAGGAAGGGGGTAGAAGTGCCCGGTAGGCAGGAAGGGGGTAGAAGTGCCTGGTAGGCAGGAAGGGGGTAGAAGTGCCCGGTAGGCAGGGAGGGGGTAGAAGTGCCCGGTGGGCAGGAAGGGAGTAGAAGTGCCCGGTGGGCAGGAGGAAGGGGGTAGAAGTGCCCAGTAGGCAGGAAGGGGGTAGAAGTGCCCTGTAGGCAGGAAGGGGATAGGAGTGCCCGGTAGGCAGGAAGGGGGTAGAAGTGCCCGGTAGGCAGGAAGGGGGTAGAAGTGCCCGGTAGGCAAGTGGTTAAAGTGCACTTTATAAAGAGTTTTGAACAGATAAAATACTTTTTTTTTACTTTTTTCTGACCTCCGGAACGGATTAATTGGTTTTCAATGCATTCCTATGGGAAACCGCATTTCGGTGTACAAATTGTTTCTCAATACGAAACGTCCTGGAGAACGCATTAAATTCGTAAACCGAGGTACCCCTGTATATATATATATATTGTACCTCTGCCCAATTGGAGGGTTATTAGACAAGCTATCGTCACCCAAATGGAACAGAAAGCCCCGCATAGCTGTGAGGGTCCTTTGATAATATACAGAAAATATAAACAGGGGAAGGAAACTTTTCATAAATCTTTGAGGGCAACGTGATTTTCCAGCACATCCCACAGATGCGTGATTTGATTGAGACCTGTCAGTGGTCAGAATGTTATGGCTGATCAGTATACAGTATATATATATATATATATATATATATATATATATATACAGTGAAGGAAATGCGTATTTGCTCCCCTGCTGATGCTGAACGTTCGCCCCTCACACAGAAATGATCGGTCTAACAATGGAATGTTCGCTGTAACACTGAGAGACAGAATACAAGAACAAATTCAGCAGAAATGCGTCTAACAAATGATGACGGATCTGCATGTTCATGAGGGAAATAAGGATTTGATCCCCTTCACAAAACATGACTTAGTACTTGGTGGCCAATCCCTTGTTGGCAATCACAGAGGTCAGACGTTTCCTGGAGTTGGCCCCCAGGTTCGCACACATCTCAGGAGGGATTTTGGCCCACTCCTCTTGGCAGATCCTCTCCAAGTCATTAAGATTCAAAATCAGCAGGGGAGCAAATACGCATTTCCTTCCCTGTATATGTATATATATATCGACCGAGGAGGGATGTTTATCCGGTATTACTAATGTTCTACTGAAAAACAGTGATTTTAGCTGGTAAGAGAAAAATATATATTTGTGTGTGTGTGTATATATATATATATATATATATATATATACAGTGGGGATGGAAAGTTTGGGCACCGCAGCTAAAAATTTGGTATTAATGTGCATAAAGAAGCCAAGGAAAGATGGAAAAATCTCCAAAAGGCATCAAATTACAGATTAGACATTCTTATAATATGTCAACAAAAGTTAGATTTTATTTCCATCATTTACACTTTCAAAATAACAGAAAACCAAAAAATGGCGTCTGCAAAAGTTTGGGCCCCCTGCAGAGTTAATGTCTTGTACTGCCCCCTTTGGCAAGTATCACAGCTTGTAAACGCTTTTTGTAGCCAGCCAAGAGTCTTTCAATTCTTGTTTGAGGTATCTTTGCCCATTCTTCCTTACAAAAGTCTTCCAGTTCTTTGAGATTTCTGGGCTGTCTGTCACGCACGGCTCTTTTAAGGTCTATCCATAGATTTTCAATGATGTTGAGGTCAGGAGATTGTGAAGGCCATGGCTAAAACCATCAGTTTACGCCTCTTGATGTAATCCCCCGTGGATTTCGAGGTGTGTTTAGGATCATTATCCATTTGTAGAAGTCATCCTCTCTTTAACTTCAGCTTTTTCACAGATGGCATCAAGTTACCATCCACAATTTGCTGAAATTTTATTGAATCCATTTTTCCTTCTACTCATGAGATGTTCCCTGTGCCACTGGCTGCAACACAACCCCAAAGCATGATTGATCCAACCCCATGCTTCACAGTTGGACAGAGGTTCTTTTCATTCAATTCTGTGCCCCTTCTTCTCCAAACGTACCTTTGCTCATTCCGGTCAAAAAGTTCAATTTTAACCTCATCGGTCCACAGAACTTGTTTCCAAAATGCATCAGACTTGTCTATATGTTCATTTGCAAAGTTCAAACAATGATTTTTGTGGTGAGGACGTAGAAGAGGTTTTCTTCTGATGACTCTTCCATGAAGACCATATTTGTACAAGTATCTCTTTATAGTGGAATAGTGACCACAACTCCAGTGTCTGCCAGATCTTTCTGGAGGGATCGTGCAGTCAAACGTGGGTTATGAATTGTTTTTCTCACAATCCTGCGAGCTGTTCTGTCTGATATTTTTCTTGGTCTTCCAGATCTTGCTTTAACTTCCACTGTTCCTGATGACTGCCATTTCTTAATTACATTCCGAACAGAGGATATTGACATCTGAAAACGCCTTGCTATCTTCTTATAGCCTTCTCCAGCTTTGTGAGCGTCAACTATTTTCAGTTTCAGTTTTCTAGACAACTGCTTAGAAGAACCCATGGTGCTGATTGTTGGGGCAAGGTCAGATGAGTCTGGGCATTTAAAACCTTTGAGATTGACATCACCTGGTCTTCCCAGACGATGATTGAGAACAATCCATGACACTGGCAGGTCTCAGCTTGGCAAAGGGGGCAGTGCATGCTATAAATTCTGCAGGGTGCCCAAACTTTTGCAGATTCCATTTTTTTGTTTTCTGTTATTTTGAAAGTGTAAATGATGGAAATAAAATCTAACTTTTGTTGACATATTATAAGAATGTCTAATCTGTAATTTGATGC